TGCTCCAGCGCCCCCACGCCGCCCCTTTTCGTTCTACCGCCCCCCTGAAAAATGAAATGGCCCCCTGGGGGGCATTATCGCCCAGGTTAAGAACCACTGCTCTAAAGCAGCCGTTCTCTAGGGGGGGGCATTGGGGGCCACAGACTGGAGAGGACTCTTCACATGCCACTTTATAAGGTTTGTGGTGTCACTAACCCAATCCCGATTCAGCCTAAACGGTATTTCTTTCATCCTGTGTTTATGGCCATGGCCAAGAAAGGGTTTGGGGGGGGGCTGCTCTAAAGCAGGGCACGCGAGGTCACGCCTGGAGGGTGGGGGAGCCTCCCTCCCTGCCCCAGCCAGAAGCTAGGAAAGCCAGCTCCCTTCTCTTTTCCCCTTCCTCACACTGGCAGCAGTGCCCCTATGGAGCCACAGCAGGGATGGGGCCTCGTGGGCCAACCAATTGTTACTGGACTGCACCTCCCACCAGCCCTTTTTTTTTAATGGATGATGGGCTCTGCAGTACAGGGACAGCAGGATAGGCAGCCGTGTTTTCCCCACTCCCTGGCCCTTCCTGTGCTGATAAAGACACAGTGGTGGTGGGGAAGAACTTTTGCTATGGGGGGAAAAAAGCACTCATTGTAGCCCTTATTAATCAGTAAAAAGTTTAATAGTAGGGTTTAAATATAAATTTCGTTTCAGAGCAGAACTCGTTCCTCCTTTTAATGAGTCAGCTAGTAAAAATGAAAAGAAGCGGTTTCCACTTCTCTTTCCTGGAAACGGGCAGCCCCACCCACTCTGGTCAGCTCAGAGAATGGAAACTCTTGCATCATTTTTTTTCCTTTAAAAAAACAACACAAACCCTGAATATTTGTGGTCTTGCCGAGGGAGGGTGTTGTCCTCCCGGCCCTCCAATGGAGCAAGGAGAAGCTGCCTTGAAGAAATTCATTTGGAAAACAGGAAAGGGTGAAGTGTGGCGTTTGAGAAGGAAAGCCAACCACGCCGGATCTCTCCTGGAGCCCAATGGTGGCTCCCTTCCACCCCTCGTGGCTTGAGATTTCAGCTCTAGTGTGGGAAACGCCCAGGCGCTGCCGTCTAACCCTGTAACCGAGGGGGCGAAGGATCACCGTTGGCCCCTCTGGGTGGCTTTGGAATAGGGCTCCCCAGACGCACACACCGGGTTGGAACAGCCGGGTCTTAACCCCCCTGCACAGGCAAAGTGGCAAATGCATTCGCCAACGTGGCCCTGACGGGTCAGGGAGAAAAAAGCAAGAACTCCCCAAGTCTTAAACGAGTTCCGCTGGCAGAGATTTTTGTTCCCCTAAAAGACGCCCCTCCACCCACCCCTCCCTGAGGGGTCGGAGCTTCTCCTCTTCCTTCGTCCTCGCAGCCAGCCTCTCCATGACGATGTTGAGCTCCACGTTCTTGTCCAGCTTGAGATACGTGTCCTTCCGAAGGGAGAGGACGCAGGCCCAGGCCGGGAGCAGCTCGGCCAGGAGGCGAAGGTGCTTCTCCATCTCGCCTGCAGGGGGCAGCAAGAACACTCAGAACAGGGTTTCTTGGCTGCTGCTCATTTCCCCTTCTAACCAAACCCAGAAGCAGCTCAGAAGAAACTTCAGATGCAAGAGACCCGTCCGGCCTTTAATGAAGTGATCACGGAAAGAGCCCCGGAGCGAGTCTGGCCCGTCTCCCCTGAAAAGGAGCCCCCGAATGGCAGAGGACTAGGAAAGTGGCCCGTAGGCGCAGGAGACGGTCCTGGGGCAGGACATACCGGTGGTTGACTCCAGGTAGGCTAAGAATTTAGGTGCTTGGGTGACCCAGAGAGAAGCCTCCTTCGCTCCCACGGGGCCCTTTCCAGCTCCCCCTTACCAAGTGCCATGGGTGACCGGTAGCTGGCCATCATCCGCCGGCAGGCCACCTCCAGGGGGAGGGCCGGCTTCTTCTCGGCCACAAAGACGTTGCGCAGGACGCGGGCCATCTCCGGGAGGCGCGCCAGCATGCTCAGCCGCTGCTCTTGCTGGGGGTGGCGCGTCATCAGCGCCTGCATCTTCTGAGCTTCCTTGGCTCGGACCTGGAGGGCGGGAGGCGGGGGTGAATCCGCAAGGCCCACCACGGCAGCCCAGAGCGTCAGGGTCTCCAGGGGGTGGGGGCAGCGGCTGCAGGTCCTGTAACTCACCCTCTCCAGCAAGGACTGCGACACCCCTTTCAGGCTATCCGGTGTGCCGGAAGGCGAGGGCGGAATCGGACGAGGAGACTCCAGCCCAGCAGCGGCCCCCGTTTCGGCTGTCCTCAGGGCCAGGTTGGCCAAAGCCTTCTCCATCTGTTTGGGGGGGGCGGGGGAGAGAGAAAAGGCAAACTAGCCCCCATCCGGCCAGGGCTTCCCCATGTCAAAAAAAAGGAAACAGGAGTCCTAGGCTAAGGAGAGAGGTCTGTGAAGGCAGAGGGGCTGCAACCCTTCTCTAGGCCTATTTCAGACCCCCCCCTCCCCCCCAAGCAGGC